GTATTGCAGGCTATTGGTATGCTAATATCGTCTATTCATTTATTGTTCATGTCATTTTACTACTGTGTGGACTGAAATACAGTGTACATATGAATTAAGCTAGCTAGTAGATACATTGTTAATTACAGAACTACCGATAGCTATGGCTAATAGCTAATCAGCCGAACTGTATTTTATTAAGACTAGTACTGTTATTTATCACAGGCCAGGTGATTTCGGATGAGAAAAAACATCCCGATGGCGAGCTGAACCCAGGAACGTTGCCTACAACTAAAGACACTTCCAACAGTTTCTACGGTCGGGTAGGGGCTGTTGTAGCCAGTCCGCTCCCGCATTATCCCTACGCAACCCGCGTTTGGACAATTACACTTACACACACCTTAAAAGACTATACGCACACTTCTACACGAAGTGCGGACATTAAATTTCACCCTTTGGTTTTGACAATGATAAAGGACATTAACAAAGTGCCTTGTCCACCACTCCTGTTTCCCATTGTTCACTTGTATTAACCAAACGTGAGGAAATCTGAAGAGCATTGTAAATATTGTAAATATTGTATATATATATATATTTCACTTTTCGATATAAAAATACCAACCATATCTCTCTAGTTTGTTGTGTGCTTTTTACTGTTTCCCTACCTCCCAGAGAGCCACAGCCTAGCCTTCTGTTTTCTAGCCCGTACCTTACACCAACTCCACCCCTTTTGTCCCTTGCATACCCCTTCTTGATATGCTACATCTGCACCGGTCCTTTCGCCCGCGGACACTCGGGGCCACACAGAAGGACCTCCGAGCACATTTCGACAGTGAGTCCTGGTCCTGGTTTAGTCCTGGTTCAGTCCTGGTTTTAGTCCTGGTTTAGTCCTGGGTTGTCCTGGGTTAGTCCTGAGTCCTGAGTTTATTTCTTGTCTTTCCTCTGCTAAAAACCTTGGAGACGCGCCGTTGACGCTGCAAAATTAAAAAGTCCAACCTGTGGAGCAGCGTCAGTGCCAGACGCTCGTTGGACGTGTGTGTGACTCTGTCGGTGTTAAACTGTCAGACCGGTTCAAATCGAGTTGTAAAGCAGCACGTCTGCTGCTCGTGTGCTGAGCTGCTGCGTTTACACACCGTGCAGCTTTGGTGTGAATTGGGGGTTACAGTTTAATTACAACGTAAATGCAACATTTTGGACGGACTAGAACCACGACTTTCCCGATGTCATAATATAACAAGTTATAAAAATGAATAAATATTCAGCAGCTTTTACTCACAGCACTGACAATATCCAAATACTACAACCTTTATTTGACCATCTGAAGTTTTATTACCTTTTTATAGTGAATATTATTTTTCAGTAGCTTTTACATGATCTGGTGTAATGTCACCAAAGTCACAGTAATTATCAATAATGTCTGTTAAAGGATAAACTAATGTCATTTAAGAAAGTGTGTGAATCTGTAACTATGTGAATAACATCTCCAAATTCAGACATATGTACCTCCGCAGGCTGTTACTACTGTTCTCAGTTTTATTCTTATTTTTATTTCTATTTTTATTTTATTTTAACTTTTATATACCAAAAGGACTGAGCGCTGTTCATCCTGTACAATTTGAATTGTGCTCTGTTTTTGGCTCAATAAAAAATATTATAACTAATTATCAATAATGTCAGTTAGGGCTGGGCGATATGGATCAAAAAATATATCTCGATTTATTTTGCTACATCTCGATATACGATATATATCTCTATATCTGTACAGGAAAAAATAATAATCCCCTAAAACTGAAAACTGCAAAAACAAATCTGCCAAATTCCACAAGGTCCTTTTTTTTAAAAATTCAATTGTAAGAGGTCGGCAGTTCATATAGGAACATTTAAGATTACAAAAAACCCTAATTACATAAATAATAAACTGTCAAATAAAAGAAATAAAACATATTTCCTTTGTTTCATTCATAAATAAAACAACTTAACTCAAGCTCATCTTTGCATTAACTCTGTTATCCAGACCACATAAACCATAACCATGAACTCTTTTAACAGAAGAAGCTCAGGATGTTCCTTATTTTAACAGATCCATGTTCCTATGCAGCAGTAAGGAGCTGTAAGGTTTCCCACAATCCACTGCAGATCAAACCCAACGTTTCCAAACACTTTTGTACAAGTGACACTGCAGCAGATTATTAATTAAAATCTTCTGCATAAATAGAATTTACATTACTAAACTTTACAAGATATATAGCATAACGACTCAAGAGCCACATCAGCCCGTTTGAGATTATAGTGTTAATTATTTTATTTTATGTTTTTTTTTTTTGCAGCTTTGCGCAGACTTGTGTAACGGGTGCGCGTCTGATCATTAACAGTCTAATATTTTGGTGCACATCCGTTAACCCTTAATTATATCTGCGTTGTGTCCCTGTGTACTGCGCTGGTTGAAGGAAGGACCATGAGACACTGGTGACCAATGGATACTGGATACCACGTTTACTGGTGGTTCTGCACAAATGAAAGAAAAATACAAATCTCTGTCACATGTTTTCTCCATGCACGCAGCTCATCAGTCCCCTCCTCAGTAGCATTGTACAGACTGAGAGAGGTGCACATGTGCAGCACGCAAACCACGTTGCTCTTAAAGGGACAGTACAGGCAAAATGTGCAACTCTTACTAACATAATAATAACATTGGGAAAGAGGCTAAACCATGCATAAAACCACACAATACCAATGGAAATTTAATTAAAGTGATTAAAGTGAAGGATTTGGTGAAATTCAAAATAAAACAAAAATACATTTCTCCTTGGTTACACTTGTTTACGTTTTACAGAAACGAAACTTAAAAAGCGCATGGCTCATTTGCATAAACAGCGCACTCCACGTGCTGCTCTTGCGGTTCAACTTTGTTTGGACTAAAGGACATGACTCAGTGGAACATGAGGATGTGCTGTTGATGGCCTTGGCTGTAAATGGTGGAAAAGTTTCGTCGTGCTTGAAGCTTTTCACTGGCAGCAACTTTCGGCGTTCACGGCGATAGTGACGAGTGAAGGAGACACGAGCGAACAAAATCAGGGAGGCGAGGGCGCGCGGGCGACGACAGAGAAGACAAGCAAAGCGGCGAAATCAAAATTGAATATAAGCATTATATCGATATATACGATATGTCAGAATTCATATCGAGTTTAAAAAAAAAATATCGATATATTAAAAATATCGAGATATCGCCCACCTCTAATGTCAGTGTCCATGTACAGTCACTGGGGGGCGCTCACGTGGGCCGTGACACTGACACGTGAAGAGGGGGGTGGGCGGGACGATCAGGAGGAACGACCGCTGATCTGAACCTGAGCTCCGTTCCGTTATTGAACATCTGTGTCACAGTTTGTCCAAAACAAACACCAGGACACACAGGACGGAGGTCAAAGAGTGACTTTGTCTTTGTGTCATGTGACCTTCGGCTCCGTGTCCTGCAGGGACTGGAGAGGA